ACACACACACACACACACACACACACACACACACACACACACACACACACACACACACACACACACACTTTCAACATGCCAGCACAAGGTCCTTGGAGTAAACCAGAACCACAACTTTTTGAAGGGTGGAGCGAGCGGCGTTTCATTCACTGAGCCGTATGCCACATATGAACAAATACTAAATGCTGGGATTTACAAGCTGGGAAGTTGAAAAGCTGAAATGGATACCGCTAAGGCACACGGTGGAGTTGCCARCACGAGATTATACCGGCTCAGAGCACGTCAGTCAGTCATATTTTTAACCCTGTTTGGATTAAATGGACAAACATCCCTGAATAAAAAGAACGAAACGCATCTCAAACWGAAATAGCTGCACGGTCCTACGTGTTTTTGTTTTTCTCAAAAAAAGATGGCCACTGTGCTTACATTATATTTAAACGAAAACACAGAAATTAGTCAGTTTTACTGATATTGAGCTCAAATTAGATGTGGTAGTAGCTGAGAGTCATTCACAACACATATAGGCACAGCACTTGTAAAACACAAAATGATTTTAGTTTATTAGGCAGCAGGTGATATGTGTTTATTTAAGAAATGTTAAACCTATAATTTATGTATTTTCACCAGAGTCAACCCAGCAGTTGGGTGTTGGTTAAGCAGCCTAATTTATAACCATTATACAAAACAAACACTGTGGGTGTGTTACAAAACGCTCACATTCCATTATTAACTTTTCCCTTTTGGTGTTTACATGTTGTGTTTAAATGCAACTTTTTAATTTAGGGTTTCCTAATAAAAGCAGCAGTTGAGTGAACGTGTACACTTGGTAAGAGAGTGTGACTTCCTGCTGGCGGAGGACGGTGCAGCTGTTCCTGAGGTGGTTTGTTGGCAACATGAGCTTTGGAGGTCCTGCGTTAAACAAATATAAACAGCTTCAGGATATCAACTCGTGCAGTTTTTTTTTTTTTTGCGTTCAAGAATGGAGCTGTCATCAGATCAAACTGTCGTTGTTTTAGTCTTTTGTCTTTATTGATAAAAATGAGAACAAAAAAAATGGATGTGTGCTCAGACCTTGAGACAACTGGCCTCCCTCTGGCTCCTCATTTGTCCATCTGTGTCGCCGCTTCCCGTTTTGATACAGGAGGAGGCCCGTGAAACAAAATGGCCATTGTGTCTGGGAACATAGCCGGTAGTTAGCTCCTGCAGGGACATTTGGTGGAGCGTTTCCAAATGTTTGAAAGTCCTGCCGCCCCTGCWCCCTCCACGGTTATCTCGAGGAGGGTGGTGAAAACTTAAAGGGCAGATCACTCTAATAGGCCACGCTGGCCCGGGGGGCAACGGTGCAGCTGTGCAGGGTGGGGTGGACTGTAAATCTCAAACCCCCACCTCCTTTTATTCTCCCCTCTCTTTCCCACACAAGTGGCTTTTTTTTTAAGCGGAGTAAAAACTGAGGTTTATGGATTTCTTCAGTCGTGTTTCATCTGCTGTCCGTCCCGGCTGGAACACAGAGCAAGAAAGTGAAACACAGGAGAGAGTCGACAGATACGTGCACTCACACACGTTGAACGAACACTATCTGCTCTTTGTAGCCTCTTCCTGTGCTGGCTTTATCACAGCTGGATTTACACAAAAATCACAGAGGAGATTCATCTGGCTTTTGTTTACTAAACAGACACCATAATGTTGAAACACAGCCAGAAACTAGCTGTTAGCTCATTTTGTAGTGTCTCTGACTTAAAACAAGGAAAAATAAAATCTCATGTTTGCAAATTCATCATATTTAGTTCTGAAACACTCTTTAGGATGTTTGACTTTTTTATTTTTACACACAAAAAACCTGCCTCCAATATTACACAACCTTTCCAGTGTTCTGTTGCTACTTTTTTCTGGCATAAAATTTTAAATGACTAAATATTAAATGTAGCAATACAAGTTCTATAAATGATTGTTTTTTACATGATAATGTTAGTTTTAAAGACTGAGCATAGTGTGGACAAGTCAAAGGATAACTTTTTGTTTGTTCAGCTGAGTGTTTTAAGGGATAGTTCMGATCATTTAAGGTTCAGTTCTGTGGAAAGTTTATGAACATTTATAATCTCACTTGTTGCATTTATTATTATATTATTATTATCATCACCTCTTTGAAGGAGGTCAGAAGGTTTATGCATAAAGCACTTAGGACTTATTTTTAGATTAAAGATGTTTTAAGATGGCAGCAACACTTATCAGTTAGTTTATCAGTCTGGAACAGAATTAAAACTATTTATGACGATTGGTGAGGGCGATCATGGAGCTTAGTTTTTAACATGACTTTCAAACTGCTGCCTCACCGGAAAATATGATTTTGAATGTAACAACCTTTACAGCTGAAAATTCAGATCTAACCCTAAAAAAAATAAATAAAAAAAAGAAATGTTACCTGTTACATTTAAAAAATGAAAAACTTTCTGTTTTCTAAAAAAAGTTACTTTTATCATTGAGCTCAAACAGGACTCCTAAGTGTTTTTTTTCTGTGTATTTGCATGTGGAAAAGCAGACCTGTAAGGAAATGCTTTTGAATCAGTAATTAGGTTTGATTCACATYAAATTATAAAAACATCTGAAAGCTGTTATATTTTCAAATTTTTACTGCGGCAACTTTGTTTTAAGCAAATATTAAAACACCTTCATACTCACTGTACTTGCCATCTTTAAAAATACACCCAGGCTCCTGTCTGGCACTAGGCTTTACTTTTCCTCTGTCTTTCTGGGTACAACAATGCTTCAGCCTTGCTAAAAAAAGCCTGTAAAAGAGTTTGTACAGACAAAAGTCAAATATCCCTCAGAGGTGTAAAGAAGTGCTTCTTTTATTTGGCATTCCTTAAAGTCAACAGTCAGGGGAGTGTGTGAAAGACTGCGGTTTATTGCTCTGGTTTGTGTGGAGATAATATCAGCAGGTGAGCTGTGTTCAATGGGGCGGTGTTTATCTGTGTTTGCTGCAGCTGCTGGCTCTCTGATAACAGGCTGCCTTTGTGTTGATGCTCACCTCGGATGAGCCGGATCCCACCTTCACACTGGTCAGATGTGTCTCACACACACAGGCTGCCTTGAAGAGTTTAGACCTTTAAAGGTTTAGGAATGAACACAGATTTTATATTCAGGTAATGATTTTCGTTGAAAGGATGCTTTTGTTGCTTCGCTGTGATTGAACGTTTATGCCGCAGCAGTTTCGCCTCGATTCTTCCRTTTGACCAGCAGGATTCAGAGCAAACAAGAATTTATCAGCTTGACTGGAGGCAAAGCCTTTTAAACACAAACATGCCTGTATAAACAGGAACTCACAGGGACCAGCATGATTTAAGCTCTGCCACCATGTCTGCCGCTGAAGATCTGACAGGAATCTGACGTGATGCACTCATCCTCTGCTGTCCTTGCATTCTTAAACTTTTCATTTTCTTTTTTTCATTGGGTGAAACGTGGTCTAAATAAAAACCCAAAGCGGTGTTTACATAACAAAACAAAGAGCTGCTGGATGTGAACAGGCTGCCTTTATGATGAATATACTGAAACGCAAACATGAGTCAAAAGTCATTCATTAAACCGGCCGTTCTCAGAGGCAAACTGCTCGTTCTGCTGCTCAGCCTTCTCGCTTCTTTTCTGTTTGCTCTGTTTTAACCAACATCCCAACYATCGTGCACACACACATCAGAGACGTTTGATTATTCCAGAGGATCAGAGTAAATTATGTGGAGTTATTTGTACGTGGCCTTACAGGAAGACACGTCAGTCAGTTTGAAAATGAGGTTACTCTTATTCCACTCATTTGTTTCATTTTTTTCATGTAAAGGCAGGACAGGAAGTATTCACCTCCCCAACTCCATAAAAAACACTTTTCTAGGTATTTTATCCTCATTTATTTACATGGCAAGGAACTATTTTTGCAGATTGCCTTCCTTACAAATGCATCGAACAAAGAAACAAAGGAAACAAAAGACGCAGTTTGATATTTTTAAGACCTATTCAAACAGAAAGATGAAGGCAGCTTTACAAAGAAAAGAGATAAAACATTTTAAACCAGGTGTTTATACTTCGCTTTCATGCAGTCAGACTTTCTTATACACTTAAGTTATCTCAAAAATCAAAAATACTATTTATGTATAAAACTCTGATATTTTTTGTATTTTTCACAAATTTAACTAAAGTAATTGGAACAAATTGTGTTTTTGTGACAGACTGCTGGAAACAAAGTGCCCGAGGATCCAGTTTCAAACTGGTTCTTTGCATTTTAAAGTGTATTTTAAAGTTTATGTATTGACACTAGGGCTGCCACGATTAATCGATTAATC